GTGTTTAGACCTTGGCTCGGGGTGTCCAATTTGCATATGCTATATGTGTCGCTATTTAGATATATATAGAGAGAGACACATGTACATATGTATAGAGCCCGGCACGGAGACACATATTTGTATCGGCAGCCGCAAAACTGAGCTGCAGATATAAAGCAGATATCTGCACAAGTGCGGAGTTCTAGACTCAACATTTGTATCCGCAGCCGTACCTGCAAAAATGAGCCGCGGATATCCGCATCCACATCTGCGCATGCAGCTACTCGCAGATATAAAGTGGATATCCACGGATGTGCAGGGCTCTACATAAGTTTAGGAAATATACCATCCATGTCTTTATCTTTATGTATAAACATATGCATAATATGTGTATTATATATATATGTATTGTATATAAATACATACACTCATACATGTATAGCAAATTTGCTATAGGTGTTTTTTAATATATATATATATATATATCCTCTGTGTTTATCTTTATATATGTACATAGCTACACTCTCTCTTATATATAGTAGCTATACTATATATGTTTTATGTATGTATACTCGCACATCACAAATATACTATATAGCTATGTATTCATACAAACAGCATGTCAAAATATACTCAATACACACATGCACACACACACACACACACACACACATATGCACACACAGCCAGGTTCCCAGCTGGTACAAATGATAGTGCCATTGATTTAACACCACTCACAACTTCTGTCAGCTGCGGATTGACCCAGGATCCGGCTGTTGTCTATGTTTTTGTGGCCTGTGTGTGCGCTTTCAGTCGTGTACCTACCTACGCAATCTCCATGCCATTCCCAGCCCTGCCTTCCGAAAAAGAAAAAAAAAAGAACAAACCAAACTTAGATTTTTTGATCTTTTTTAAACAAAACAAAAAAAAAAGAAACAAAACAAAAGCAAACAAAAAAGCCGTTAAAAAGGACTAAAACAAAAAACGGGGGAGAAAAATTCCTACCAAGTTGTCGATGTCCCTCGACTTCCATTTTGGGTATTGAGCTGTGTATTGTTTCAGTGTGGGCGTTTTCCTGTATTCTGTGGTGTGTTTGCTAAGAAACAAACAAATAACATCTCCATTTTTCTTTCCTTCCTCCCTTTCCTGTTTCCACTTCCGTTCTCTTCCTCTGCCCCTTTTCAGTCTGTGTGGCATTCAAACATTTTTTAAAAGGATGAACTTAAAAACCAACCACACTAACATTTCTCCCTTGTCGCTGCTTGAAGACATGTAAAAGAACAGCCAAAATAAATTAGTTTTCCACTCACTGCATGACCTGGGATCCTGTCTGGATTTATGGCTCCTCTGTTCTCCTGTTCCCCCTCTCTGAGTTGCTCCGTTTGGGATCTATCTTGTTCTCCTCTCCCTCTCTGGACCTGAGAGGAACCAGTTTTTTGTTCTGGATCCGTGTTGTGAGTTGGCTTTGGTTGGATAAGTAGCAACACATCACACACATACAGTGAGCTGGGTGTATACAATAGTGAGCCCATGGGGAACCGATTCTGTGGGTGCCACATGGATTTGCACGCTCACACACAGGACCTGATTTCCTCCAGCAGGGGGCACCACACACACACACACACACACACCTGTTCGTGCTCAGAAAGATACAACCCCCAACAAATGAAATCACCACCCACTCCTGTGAAGCCGGGGAATCTGCTCTTATTCCTAATGAACCTGCTCCATACCATTGTGTGTGGGCGTCCGCATGCTCTTCAGTTCCCTGCTGGATTAAGAACATATCATCCATCTTCTCTGTCCCCCCAGCTCTGCCAGGCCCCCAATAGTCCCCCCAAAACCAGCATCCGTGTCTCTGAGGATCCACAAACTGTACAAGCTCCCATCCTCGGTCAGGTTTTCTAGGCCTTGTCTCATTTTCGTTGCTCTCCTCCGGACTCTCCGATTCGTTCCGTCTGTCCGCAAGTGTGGCCCCCAGAACTGGACACAGGACTACAGCTAAGGCCAGTGCGGAACGGGACTGTCACCTCCTATGTCTTCCCTATGGCACCCCTGTTCCTACACCCCAGAATGAGCTTGGGAGTTCACCTTCTTTGCAACCGCATCACGGCACGGACGCATAGCCAGTCTGTCTCGCCCGGATCCTTTCCAGCCGTCCGGTCCCCACGTGCGAGCCGTGCATTCGACTTTTCCTTCCGAAGGGGAGAACTTGGCACAGGTCTTTAGCCCGTTTCCCTCTGTCGGCCTCAGGCCCGTTCTCCAATTCGCCAAGGGTGTTTTGAGTTCAAATCCTGTACCCCAAAGGGCCTGCGATTCCTCCCAGCTCAGGCCAGCTGCAAACGGAACCGCAGGCCTTCTGTGTCATTGGCCGAGGCATTCACAAAAGGGTTAGATGGACCACAACCGGACCAGGACTCACCCCTGCCGGAGACGCCCTCCCCTGAACACCAGCGGATCTATGTGCGGCCCTGGATTTAACAAAGCAGCCAGCCTCGCTTCCCAGCTCCCTTGACGTCCTTGGAAATGGGATAAAACACAGCGGAAGGGCTTAACGCTCTCCTCGTGGCATTAACCCACAACCGGCTTGGCTTGTGTGCATGCAGGTGCCGACCCAGCCCACTAGCCGCTCAGGGCGGGAACGGGACGATACACTGGTCCTGTGCCCCCGAATCCATCCCTGCACCCTTTGAGAGGCCAACCTGCCGACTCGCATGCGCCCTGGGCTGAAAACAATGGCTGCTTTGTGTACGTCTGAGCTGGCGTCGGTCCGTCGGGGTCCACGGGATGGAGTCCTGTTGCAAACGAGAACAAGCAGCACCACTAAGTGACTTCCGATGGAAGCGCGGGCGTAACGTTAAGGGCATTCGTTGCCCCTTCAGCGACCAGGGGTAAGTCAGTTTCAGCCGGTGCGTCAATT